CTGAAAATTGGACTGGGCATGAAAGTGCCCAATAGGCAAGTAGTTAAAATCTATGAGTTCCTGTGCCCCATTGGGGGTGGGAGATTAGGTCGATCTCAGTGGGAGGCATAGGCAGCACGGTGTCCTGCAGCTGGAAAAAGCCAGATGTGTCGGCACTGGGTGCTTGAGATTTGGTTGAATTGAAGGGACAATATAATGTCCCTATGCTGGCAGAAAGGGTCAGAATGTTCACAGCTTAAGTCAGTGATGGACAGAGGAGCTCATGGCTGCAGGTATTGCTTGAAGATGCATTGAACTGCTGAGACAGATAGTTCTGTATGGGCTGTGTTTTTCTTTCTGCACTGCTATGACTTGTAGTTCTGCATTGTCTGTGTGCCTTTCCGGATGCTGGGACTTACCTCTACCTTCTGCTCTTCTGTCAACTGTTGCCTGTGTGGCCTTGAAGCTGCAGCCAGGACACACAACCCTTCAAGGACGTTCTTGAAGGACCTCTGCCCTTTGGAACCTCCTTCTCCATGTCACTATGCCTAGACTTCCTCTGCTGAGGCCACTGGTGAGTCCCTGAATTGCTGCCCTGTGCTCCTGCTGTAGCAGTTTGTGGCCTGCTACTCAATAAGCCCAGATTGTTGCTCTTTGACTCTGAACTAAGCTCTGCTGTACTAGAGTGCTACCTAGTGCCAAGGACTTATCCCCTCTGTTGTGCTGGATCCCTGTCCATTCCTACTGTGTTTCCAATTCCTTCTGCAGATTAACCCTTTGCCTGCCAGAACTATGATATCTCTGCTGTGTGCCCAGCCTGTGTTATGGACTTAACCCTTTGTCTGCTGGAGTTCTGCCATCCCTGCTGTGTGCCCAGCCTGTGTTACAGACTTAACCCTTTGTCTGGTGGAGTTGTACCATGCCTGCTGTGTGCCCAGCCTGTGTTACGGACTTAATCCTTTGTCTACGGGAGTCCTGATATCCCTGTAGTGTGTTCAGCCATGTGTTACGGATTTAACCCAGAACTCTGCTATCCTTTCTGTGTGCCAGTCTCATGTTACAGACTTAGCCCTTTGCTTACCAGAACTCTGCTATCCCTGCCTTTAAATAAAAGCCTTGTGTGTACTCCTGCTCTCTGTGTGTTCTGTTCCACCCACACCTCCATCACAATAATATATTTAATTGCATTGTGTTTCTGATAAACTGCATGAGTTCAACAGGGCTAAAACTGTTTTGCTGCTGATTTTCATTTGTACACAATGTCTGGTTCATCTCACTGCAGTGTCCATCAATAGTCAGCCAGCATTGATAGATTCCAGTTTCCCTAATACTGTTTTTCCATTCATCTTATCTATGTTCAGCACTTACTGCATCTAGATATCAGGAAAAAAGGGTAAATGCAGAAAATGAATCTTTAGTAACATGTCATAGTCTTGTATGCTGTAAGAAGTTTTCAACCAGCTAAACAAAGTTTGGTGCTCTGTTGTTGAAAATTCTCAACATTCTTGCATGCTCTAGAAGTGATTGTCTGTGGCCCAGACAGACCTTCAAACCACTTGTCATTCATGATGTATCTGATCTGTAGACCAACAAAAATGCCTTCCTTAATCTAGGCATCAGTTATTTATATAAACAAATGTCTCAAAATAACCAAAACCTTTACCCCCTTTTCATTGCTTTCACAACATGTTTCACCAGTCCAAGTTCTATGTGAAGTGGAGGCATAAATATCTTTGTTGGGTCAACTAGTGGTTTGTTTGCCATATTTTTCCATCCTGTAATAAAATTCTTTTGGAGCAGCTGTTTCTTTTTAATATATTACGACTCTCTTGTACAGCTGTTCCATTCGCATTTGTAACAACAGTATTTAGTATAGCCAGGCTGCATTCCAAGCAGCAGAGCCACTATGTTTAAATCTCCACAGATATTCGAGTTGTACTTGATGTACTGGATTTGCTTCAACAGCACTTCCATGATTTTGTGTTTTTTTTTTCACGTCTGCAGCATAGCCAACATGTATCGATGGGTGCACATTGCCATTGCGCAAAAAGAGCCTTGAGGCTAAGCATTGATGAATCAATAAAGAGACACCATTTAATTAGGTTATGCTCACAACCTAAAGATATGAACGAACCGCCAGTCTGTAAGTACAGAGAACGAGGTTGTCAGTCACTGCAAAGAAACTTGTTAAATTAGTTTGGCAACTTTGAAAGACATACATTTTCTTACCTGGTGATAGTGAATGCCACCCTTGAAGTATTAAAACCAGTAATTCTGCTTTTGATTTTGATAAACCTAAGTACCTGGCAGTTATTTAATTCTGACAATGCTATGAGATGAGGCTCACCACACAATTCAAAATCCTGATCATTGTCATTGTCCATGCCTGGCTGTTGTATTGCAGCATATTAGTCTGTTTAGTCCAAGCTCCATTTCTTTAAAGGCTTTGGTACTGGCAGATTGTCATTATGTGGCACTGGTCTCACGACTGAAGGCAGATTGGGTATTCAATTGGTTTCTTATTTTATTATTAGAGAAACCAGTGACATTAGACAGCAGTAACAGTCTGTCAGTGTGTCATGTGATCATTCTGTTCTCACCATATTATCAGAACAGCAAATGGCATTGACTTCCCCTGAGCAAAACTCTAAAATTGACAGTGCATCTTGCACAACAAATGTGAGGAGGCCTTGTCTTGACCACCGATCTTACAACCAAAGTACAGTTTGTATGCTTCTTTAACCACTTCAAGTGAAGGGATGGACATTGCTCAACCGACCCCAGGAGTCCAATGTTAAGGAATGGCCTCAGCCGCCATACTGGCTTAGCCCTTTGACACGTTTCCCCCCTCCCACCGGGGCTTGGACCTCTGTGACCAAGCCCCGGTGGGTGGGGCGAAACATGTCAGAAGCCATGGCCAATGTGGCGACTGAGACCATTTTTTAACATTGGACTCCTGGGGTCGGTTGAGCAGCGTCCATCCCTTCACTTGTATTGGCTGACACTAGAATCGCACAAACTCATGCTCCCCTCTTCTCACTTACCAGTGGGGTGATCCTTTTCCTTCCATCCATAGCTTGGAGTGGCGCCATAAGGTATACTTATTTTTCCACTTGCCTACTGGGCACTTTATCCCCCTTCCTTCCCAGGCAGGAATTTTCACCTTTCAGCATTGTCGCACCTTGAATGACAATTGCATTGTCATGCAACACTGTACCCATATAAAATTTTATATAATTCTTTTCACACAAATAGAGCTTTAGTTTGGTGGTATTTAATCACCACTGGGGTTTTCATTTTTTACCCTATAAATGATAAAAGATCGAAAATGTTGAAAAAAAAAAGTTTTCTTTGTTTCTATTATAAAATTTCTTAACAGGTAATTTTTCTCCTTCACTGATTTGCGTTGATGAGGCTGCAGTGATTAGCGGCACTGATAATGCTGCACTGATAGGCAGTAATGATGGGCACTGATAGGTGGCCTTGATGGGCACTAATAGGTAGCACTGAAGAGCACTGACTGGTGGCATTGACTGGCAGCACTAATGGGCACAGATTGACAGCACTGTTGGGAACTGATGGGCAGCACTGTTGGGCACTTTTGGGGCTGCACTAATAAGCAGGGCACTGATAATCAGTGCCCTGATTATGTGTGCAGATGTGTGCTTTGACAGTTGCCAGTTACCAGCAGTATTTTCCTGCTGTCACAGCATAAGGAACTTACTGCCAAAAATTGGCAAGTGTATTTACAAGGTGGTCAGCTGTGATTGGACACAGCTGATCACATGGTAAAAAGGGCACTGTGATTGGCCTTTTACCATGCCATGTGATCATCTGTGTCCAAAGCACAAATCACAGACAGTGCCGGTTGCGCACAGCTGGGGACGTGCGGGGGGCACGTTCTGGGAGGATGTCATATGATGTCCTCGCAGAACTGGATGACTGCACTATAGCTGTCATTTGGCTATAGTGCAGTAGCAAAACATTGGCAAGCCATTTCTGCTGTCACTGACAGTCCTATGGTAAGTCTATAACTGGTTTACTTGTACTGTAAATTACATTTACATAGACAATGCTATACCTTGAAATGCTTTTAGTTCCTCCACCCCAAACTCGCTCATCCATGTATTTATGGACCTTGCTTTATGCACTCATGCACAGTCATGTTGGAACAGGAAGGGGCCATCCCCAAACTGTTCCCCACAAAACTTTACACTTGGCACAATGCAGTCAGTGCTCTAGAGTCCGGTGGGGGCATTGCATTGCACTTGGTGATGTAAGTTTGGATGTAGCTGCTCGACCATGGAAACCCATTCCATGAAGCTCTCTACACACTGTTGTTGTGCTAATCTGAAGGCCACATGACGTTTGGAGGTCTTTAGATATTGACTCTGCAGACTACTGCGCACTGTGCGCTTCAGCATGCCCTGACCATGTCATTTTACGTGGCCTACTACTTCGTGGCTGAGTTGCTATTGTTCCCAGTTGTTTCCACTTTGTTATAATACCACTAACAGTTAACCGTGGAATATTTAGTGGCAAGGAAATTTCACGGATGAATTTATTGCACAGGTGGCAACTTATCATGGTATAATGCTTGAATTCACTGAGCTCCTGAGAGCGACCCATTCTTTCACAAATGTTTGTAGAAGCAGTCTGCATGCCTAGGTGCTTGATTTTATACACCTGTGGCTATGGAGGTGATTGGAACACATGAATCATTGATTTGGAGGGGTGTCCCAATACTTTTGGCAATATGGTGTATATATATATATATATACAGTTGCAAGAAAAAGTATATATATATGAATGATAAAATACATATAAAAGGAAATTGCAAACACAGAAGATTTCTAACAAAATGGTACCAGATGTGTTAAATTACTGGTTATTTTCATGAAGATACACCCAAAAGTGTTCAGGAAGAAACATCTTTTGTTGTTAAGTGATCTGGATGAACACACAGTGAGAAGCTAGCCTTTCCATTGCATCACTAATATAGCGTATTCTCTGTGTTGTAGGTATTGTGGGCCTCTGGTCACTTGCAATATTAGCATTTGAAAGATACCTAGTAATCTGTAAACCCATGGGGGATTTCCGTTTTCAGAAGAAACATGCTATTATGGGGTGTTCATTCACCTGGATTTGGGCTAGCATATGGACATCTCCACCTTTGTTTGGCTGGTGCAGCTATGTTCCTGAAGGTAAGCTAAATTTTTTTTTACTAACAAAGGTCATTTAATATTTAATTCTTGCAAACTGGTGGGATTTTAAAAATAAGCACAGTGCAAAACACCTATGTTTTATCTGTGTCTAATGCAAATACTGAATGCCAACTGTTTTTAAGCTGCTGAAAACTTTGTATCGGGTATATGACAGATAACCTCTTAAAGTGTTACTAAACCCAGTAAAATCAGTCTGTATATGCAGTAAAGCACGCTTGCAATACTCACTGAAGAACCTAGGGGGTTAATCCTCTGCATTGTGTAAAAACGCTGTTTGATCCTGACTTCTCTGATCCTCCCCTTCTTCCAGTGCCCCCTCTTATCTCCCAATGAGACCTATCATGTGGAGTCACTCTGCACATGCTCAGTTTGGTGTGTATTGCTATAGAGGTTTTTGTTCTTTCTTGGGAGAGTGCATGTGATCAGCACAGGACCAATCAGCACTGTCCAGACATAGGTCAGGGGTCCTGCATCCTTCTAGGGCAGAATGAAAACTCCTCCTACAAGCTTTAACCAGTGCTCGGCTGGACACTGATAGAAGTCACAAGACTGCGCTAACTGCTGATGAGAAAAGGTATTTAGCAGTTTATACTTACTAAAATATTTGCATTTCCATGTTCTGTGTACTGTGGGAGACCAGATATAGTGAATACAGGGTCCTGGGTTTAGAAGCTTTTAAGATTGTACTCTGTTTCGAGAACTTTAAAACAAATAATACAAAGTTCACTGGTGACATGGACTTGCAGTATCCTATTATATCCACTCAGCTTTCACCTTTTATAAGTCAGTGCACTTACAAATACTTGCTGTATGGTTGTTCTAAATGACATGTACTTTAAACTTTGCACTATGACTTTGTTAATTAAGCCTTACTAGTGACACTGAATATTACTTTGCATAAAAGTCTCCTACAATATGTACAGTATGTAGGTTTATTCTATAAATCAATGCAAACAGCTGGAATGATGTAAACTAAGTTTTTCGACTTACTTGTATAATCCTTTTCTTGGAGTACAGTACAGGACACATGCTTACATTTTTCAAACCATGGGTTGTATGATGCCACGTTCAGGTGAGGACACTAGCAAACAAAGCTGTTAGGACAGCTTATATAACCCTTCCCATTCCAAGCAATCTTATTTTTTTTTAATTCAAAGGAAGATAAGCCAGGACAGAGGACAGTGTGTCCTGTGTCCTATAAGGAAATGATTTTACAGGTGCAAAAATCAAAAATCCTTATTTCTTAATCATACAATGCAGAATATAGACTTCCATTAATTCTAAACTGATAACCAGTAAAGTCTTTTAATCGTTCCTCATGGATAATTTTGGGTACCATTTTTTTTTTTATAATTTCATGGGCTTGTGCAATTTTAAAGGATAAGTTCACCTTTTATAAAAAAAAAAATAATAATAAATGCACATCTTTTTGCAGGTACAAAAAATATGCATTAAATATTTTTTTACATTGGAGCCTGTAAAGCATTGGACCTGTGATCAGCAGATCACAGGTGTAATGCTAGGCTCCTGCAGACTCTCAGTACACTGTCTGCCTGTACCACCCATAACATGTTCCAAAGGTGAACTTATCCTTTAACCCCTTCCCACTGACAGTACGCATATATGCGGCCCTACTGAACTTGGTCTTTTTATGTGCGGCCGCAGATATACATACCTGTCTTTGTGCTGGGAGGGCGCCGCACAGCGCACACACAGCACAGAGACTAGGATCTCAATGTGGGCCCCAGGTCCCGTACTAACGATCGGGACCTAGGACTTCCAGTTACGGGTCACCTGATTGCTGTGATAGCCTCTGATTTGCTATCACAATGATCAGTCACCATGCAGCCCACCCCTGTGTTTATATTCTCTCTCAATAGAATTGCTGTAAATGTAGCTAGAGGGAGAAAGGACTTCTCTGCATGAAGAACAGTGTGTAATCTTCCAGTCTTCCAGAAGAAAGCAAAAATTAAAAGCCAAAACCCTGCTCTCAGTAGTGGCTATCACCTAAGGACACTAGCAAAAATTGAGAATTGCTGATAATAGAAGAGTCCTAACCTAAGGGTATCAGCATGTAACTCATGATCTTGATTAATGGAATCCTGTGTTTGTGACAATCGCGGCGTCAGACCCCAGCCCTTCCCACCAAACTCGTGACCGAAGGACTAGCCGATCAAAAACAGCGCTGTCACGTGCGTAACAATGCCACTCCCAGCTGCACCCTGCACACAGATTTTCCAGCTAATGGACCACAACCTGCGTACCTGCAGCCTGAGAGCGACTGTTACTGAGTCAGGTTAATTAAGCAATTAACCCTTCATACTTGCACCACCTCCTTTTTGTACAGAGAAAGAGGAAACTCGGCAAAAATTAGCAATAACACTATGATGTTTGAATAATCATCCGTATACCACTGTCACCGCAGGCAGGGATATATAGAGGTTTAAACACACACAGTAGCGCTCTTCAGAGGCAGGGATTCTTAGTTTGCATTAAAGAGCTTTAGAAACAGTTCAACACTTTCAGAAAGTAAGATTTATTACTAAAAGGTCAAAAGGGTGCAATAAAAATATTTACAGAAAGAGATGTAGCTAAATAAAATATATAAATATACAGAGAGCAATAACACAACAAAGAGATAACAGAAAGGAATTTAGGGAGGTAAAGTACTTTCCAAACATCCTGGTTTAAGCAGATCAGGTTTCATGAGCCAAAAGGATGCCTTATCTCCGAAAGTTAGTTCCGATGTTAAACGGGAGAATCTTCAACTTCTTTTTACTCAGCTTAGCTTTTTCTCTCACTCAGCAGGGTGTCTCCCTGAAGCAGAGAACCAATCGCCTCATTTGGGCGGGTGTTGCAAGCAGAGACCCAAGCTAGAACCAAAAACTCTCCTAGTTGTTGTCATGGTTCATACCTTATTCTCGGTGCATTTAGCAGCCTGGCCACTAGTAGAGTAATATGCAGACGCATCTGCTGAACGGTTAGATATGAAATATGACATACCTGCTTGGATGGTTAAGGAGATATAATTTTTTGCTCTCCTGTATATGCCAGCTAGGGGATGTAATATATCAGGCAACTTGTATTAACCACTTGAGCTCCTGAGGATTTACCCCCCTTAATGACCAGGCCTCTTTTTGCTACTCGGCGCTGCACTAATTCAACTGATAATTGCGCGGTCATGCAATTCTGCACCCAAACAAAATTTACGTCCTTTTTTTCACACAAATAGAGCTTTCTTTCGGTGTAATTTGATCACCTGTGCGCTTTTTATTTTTCACACTATAAACAAAAAAAGCCAAATATTTTGAAGAAAAACAATATTTTTTACTTTCAGCTATAAAAAAATATATAGTAAACTCAAAGTTGGTTATAAATTTAGGCCAAAATGTATTCTGCTACATGTTTTTGGTAAAAAAAATCCCAATAAGTGTATATTGATTGCTTTGTGTGAAAGTTATAGCGTCTACAATCTATGGTATAAATACTGCAATTTACGCCATTTTTCTGCTATACAGCGCTGTGCTAGTTTAACGGACAATTGCATGGTCATGCAATACGGTACATAAATTAAATTTACATCCTTTTTTCCCCACAAATTGAGCTTTCTTTCGGTGGTATTTGATCGCCTGTGCGGTTTTTATTTTTTGCGCTATAAAAAAAAAGACTGACAATTTTGAGGAAAAAAAAACAATATTTTGGACTTTTTGCTATAAAACATGTCCAGTAAAAAAAAATGCAAAAATCAAATTTAGTCATAAATTTCTGCCAATATGCATTCTGCGACATGTCTTTGCTAAAAAAAAAACCAATACGTGTAAATTAATTGGTTTACGTGAAAGTTACAGCGTTTACAAATGGCGGGAAAGATACTGGGATTTGTAATTTTTATTTATACTAATAATGGCGCCGATCAGCGACATATGGCGGCAATCAGCGACATATGACGGCGACCAGCGACTTATGGCGGGACTGCGGCGGACATTTTGACAGTGGGGGGGAACTGACTTGGGGTCACTGACATCCCCAGTGACACCAATACAGTGATCAGTGAAAAAAACCCACTGAAACTGTACTAATGTCACTGGGGAGGAAGGGGGTTAACATTTTTAGAATTTGCTGTGTAAGGGGAGTGTTTTACTAGGGGGCGGGGGTGTGTACTGGACGGGGGGAGGGAGGGGGGAGCTGATCGAGGGAGAGAAACTCTTCTCTCCCTCTGCAGCTTGTCGGTGAACTGTCACAGAGCAGGGCTGTGTGTAAACAATGCAGCCCTGCTCTGTGTCAGTGATCACCGCTCATCGCGGGAAAACGGCCAGTAAAAACCGTCCGTGACCCGGCGGCGGAGACCCGCTGCTGACACCCACGGGACAGGTACCTGTTTTGAAGGCAGCCGTTTTAAAACGTGCTTTTGCCTACGAGCGCCGCCCTGCCGCTGTTTATATGCGGTGGCTGGGCGGCAAGTGGTTAAAGTGAGCTGTCCATATATGTGCTCCATGTTTATGTAATTATGTCCAATTGGAAGATATAAAATTATCTGGAAAAGTGAGTTTTTAAATGTAAGTCTGTTTTTACGACTACCTGGAATGTCTTGAAGCTCAGTGAGGGCTTGGTTTATGGCTTTACGATCCCTTCTCAAGCAAGAGTCTTGCAGCCATAGGGGCACCAGCTAATGGGGTTTATAGCCATGACGCCCTCCCAATGCGTTTGCTGCCTGTGATCTCTGTCATCATCCAGACCACATGTCACTCAACAGAGAGGGAGGGGGGATATCGGAGGAATCTAATTTGGGAGAGGGAGATACAAGATGGAGGGGTTTGGAGCAAAATGGATGACCGTGTCCAACCAGTGGTCATTTTGATTTTGGTATTAGGTAGCATTTATTATGCTCAACGGTTTTGTCTTTACAAATCAGCAGGCCTTATGTTCTCCTTTCTTAATACTTTTTTTTTCATCTAGGTCTGAGGACATCATGTGGACCCAACTGGTACTCCGGAGGTACAAACAATAACAGTTATATAATGGCTTTATTCATGGCTTGCTTCGTTACGCCTCTTAGTACTATCATATTCTCTTACTCTAACCTCCTAATGGCATTACGAGCAGTAAGTACTGAAATTACACTTTTTCCCATATCAAGTTACTACCATGTGCTTTTATACTGATTTATGTCTGTTCAATAATACACTGCTCAAAAAAATAAAGATTAAAGGAACACTTTTTAATCAAAGTATAGCATCAAGTCAATTAAACTCCTGGGATATTGATTTGGTCAGTTAAGTAGCAGAGGGGGTTGTTAATCAGTTTCAGCTGCTTTGGTGTTAATGAAATTAACAACAGGTGCACTAGATTGGCAACAATGAGACAACACCCAAAAGAGGAATGGTTTTACAGGTGGAGGCCACTGACATTTTTTTCCATACTCATCTTTTCTGTTTTTCACTAGTTTTGCATTTGGCTAGGGTCAGTGTCACTACTGGTAGCATGAGGCAATACCTGGACCCTACAGAGGTTGCACAGGCAGTCCAACTCCTCAAGGATGGCACATCAATACATGCCATTGCCAGAAGGTTTGCTGTGTCTCCCATCACAGTTTCAAGAGCATGGAGGAGATTCCAGGAGACAGGCATTTACTCTAGGAGAGCTGGACAGGGCTGTAGAAGGTCCTTAACCCATCAGCAGGACTGGTATCTTCTCCTTTGTGCAAGGAGGAACAGGATGAGAACTGCCAGAGCCCTAAAAAATGACCTCCAGCAGGCCACTGGTGTGAATGTCTCTGACCAAATAATCAGAAACAAACTTCATGAGGGTGGCCTGAGGGCCTGATATCCTCTAGTTGGCCTTGTGCTCACTGCCCAGCACCATAGAGCTTGATTGGTATTTACCATTGAACACCAGAATTGGCAGGTCAGCCACTGGTGCACTGTGCTTTTCACAGATGAGAGCAGGTTCATCCTGAGCACATGTGACAGATGTATAAAGGGTCTGGAGAAGCCATGCAGAATGTTATGCTGCCTGTAACATCGTTCAGCAAGACCTTTTTGGTGGTGGGTCAGTGATGCTCTGGGGAGGCATATCCATGGAGGGACACAGAGATCTTTACAGGCTAGATAATGGCACGCTGACTGCCATTAGGTATCGAGATGAAATCCTTGGACCCATTGTCAGACCCTATGCTGGTGCAGTGGTCCTGGGTTCCTCCTGTGCACGACAATGCCCGACCTCATGTCGCAAGAGTATTTAGGCAGTTCCTGGAGGATGAAGGAATTGATATCATTGAATGGCCCCCCACGCTCACCTGACCTAAATTCAATAGAACACCTTTGAGATCATGTTTCGGTCCCTCCGACACCTCCTGGTTGCACCTCAGACTGTCCAGGAGCTCAGTGATGCCCTGGTCCAGATCTGGGAGGAAATACCCCAGGGCATCATCTGTCGTCTCATTAGGAGCATACCCCGACGTTGTCAGACATGCATACAAGCACAAGGGGGCCATACAAACTACTGACTACCATTTTGAGTTGCTGCAATTAAATTTCAGAAAAATGGACTAGTCTGCTGCATCATTTTTTAACTTTGATTTTTGGGTGGTTTTTGAATTCAGTCCTCTGTAGATTGATAATTTTCATTTCCATCAAACGATGGGGCATCCTTACGTTCCTAACACATTACCCAGTCCATATCAGTATAGATATCCAGCATGATAATTTCCCCCATTGATATCTGATGTGTTTTCAAAGTGTCACTTTAATTTTTTTGAGCAGTGTATTAAGTGGGTACTTTTATAGGAGTTTAATTTACAATATTTTTAAATAATAAAATGTGCCATATTGTCATTTTGTTTAAATTACACAGCATAGCTCCAATTTAAAAAAGACATAAGAGAAAAACAAAAGGAAGACTGCTAGGTCTAAAAGTCTTAAATCTCCCTGGGTACTTTATACCAATCCATGTAAAATATACAATGAAAAAAAATCTCTCAACAGAGACTAGTAAAACCTCAAAAACAGTATGTAGTAGCCCCATAAAAAGGGTTTTTGGGTGTGTGTTAGTGGGATTGGCATGTGCCACAAAGGTGCATTGGGGCTACTGGAGTACAGGCAGATGTGGTGATGTTCAAGGCAGGAATGTGATTCCATGCTCATAGAGTGCTGAATTTTTCTTTACATGAATTCAGTTAGATTTTACTTTCTATAGAGATCTACATAGGCTCTAGTTTTTGACCTGTGCACATTACTGATCTGACATTAGTCTGACCTGCAATTTGACCTGTGCTTGAAAATACAACTTAGTAGGTGTATTGCAGGTCTCAATGGTGTACATGATGAAATGTACACACGTATCCAGAACATAATCCTGGCACAAATTAAGAATACCTTGTGCTGAACTACACACTAGACACGGTGCAGTCTTTTTCATAGATCAACTATTAATGATGACATTATTTACAGTAACTACACGGCAACTTTAATTTTTGCATGCACCAAAATACATTTGTCTGAGATAGCCAGGAACACAGCGTTAAATTCAATAACCTATGCAAAAAAATAAGCATTCAGAAGAAATATAGATCAAGTGGGATTTTCAGTGATCATAAAAATAGTTCTCAAGGTGTGCAAATCTGATCCTCTGGAAATTTACTGCATTGGACCAAACACTAGTTCCCTCAGGGAGCCTGCAGTTCATTCTTCCTAACCTGTGAAACTTTAGTATTTGTGTACGTGGAATTCTGCTTTTCATGAGTTGTGGAGAACACAAGTTATTATTGGCAGAATTCCCCAACCCTTATATCATAAGCCTAATAAGGTAGTACTTTACCAGTATCAAGTCCTGCCCTTTTAAGGAGGTATAATGCTTCCTAACTTGGTATATGAAATTACAGGAAGCCGCTAATACCACTCAAAAAATTCTCACCCCTCTGTTCCTGCATAGAAGTGGGATTCCCCCTGAATCCCATGCAAGTGGGAGATTCATAGGTCTGGGCAGGGAATCTGCATACCATTAAAATGTAGCTATTCTCATGCATAAAGTACATTTGAGTTGGTTTGTGACTATGCAGTATGTGGACATAGTTGACTACCTTTCAAACAACCGTGAGTAACTAAATATTGTAGCTGTCTATATTTGACCACTTTGGGAAGTAGAAGTGATTTTATATGCAGACAAGGTAGTTAAATTTCACTGCATATCTCAATTGAAATGCACAGGAAGCAAAAGGTTAGACAACTTGACTGTTTAAATATACAGCTTCAAATTCTTAACCATGAATAGCTGTAAAAAGAGCAATTTTGACTTGCCTGTAAGTTCCATGTCTTGGAGTGCAGTATTGGACGCAGACAAAGTATTCATAGACCTTGGGTTATAGGCTCCTACCTTCCGGTGATTGGACACTGGCAATGCTTTCCTAGACACGCCCTTAGGTGCCTCCCCTATAACCCTACCCTGCACCGCAAGTCCTCAGTTTTGTAGCAAGCAATGCAGAGTAACCAAGGAATTGATAGGAAGGGTGATTAGTGTCTTGTACTGTACTTTATGATATGGAATTTACAGGTAAGTCAAAACTTCTCTTATCTTAATTGTACGGTGCAGGATGCATGCAAAGTATTCATAGACCCTGGAACCTTCCCAAGCAATGAATAAGAAGGGAGGGTAACAGAGGCAAACAGAACTGTCCCAATGGGCTCAGCAACAACAAGGGTCAACAGACCCCACTTCAGGGTGTCCCTTACAAGGTCCAGAGGACAGGAAAAAAATAGGGAACCTGTCTTCCTGATCAAAGACATTGCTTTGAGGTAGACTTTTATGGCTCTCACTACATCCAGACAGTAAAAAAGACATTTCCTTTGGCTACTTTGGAGCAGGGCATTAGGATGGAAGGGCAATGTCTTAATTGAGGTGGAAGACCAATACTACCTTATGAAGAAAGGAAGGTATTGGGCATAATATTACCTTGTCTTAAAAAAAGATGTTCCTCATACTTCACAAAGAGACAGCCACTGACTCTGACACATGTGACAACCACCAAGAAGGCAACTTTACAAGAGAGGTCATCTATGGGAATATCCCTAAAGGGTTAAAAGGGTGGCTTCTGCAGGGCAGAGAGAACCAAGCTGAGATCCCAAGGAAACACAGGACACTGCAAAGGGGTGTGAGATTGATAAGGGATACACATTGAGTAAAGTTTTTGACAAGGGAGAGCAAATCCACAGTATTTTGAAAATGAATGGACAAGAGAATGGCTGTTCTTTCAAAATGCTTAAGGCCAAATTCTGGTCAGGACCTGGATGTAGGGAGGCCAGATTTCAAGGCACAAAGTAATCTCTGGGACTGAAGTGCCTGTTTTTTCCACCAGGCAAAGGATTTCCAGGTATGATAGTAGATCTAAATGGAAGTGGCTTTTCTTGTCTTTAGCAATGAGAGACTCAGAAACAGCTGTCTCACGACCTGGGCTTCAACAGCCATCCTGTTAAAGAAGCATGGGGGATGTGGACTGCAGAGATAGCTGGACAGTGCTGGACAGTAAGTATCAACCCATAAGATTGTCTGTCTTGCTTCCTTCAAAGGCTGCATGACTCCTGGTGCCCCCTTGATGGTTGATGAATGTGTGGCCATGGTACTGACTGACTTCACCCTGATTGGGTGTTCTTGCAGAAGAGGCGTTCAGGGTTGCAGAGCCATTTTTATTTGCAGATCTGTGAGAAGAAAGCATTGAGGGGGTAGAGAACTCTATTTTGTGCCCCTTTGAAGCCAGTGATTGAAGCCACAGGTCTAAGAGGTCTGTGATCCAGAGAGTGGCAAACTGTTGAAGACACTTATAAGTGAGTGTGCCCCTTCTTTGGGATGTGCAAACCTTTAGCAGAGTGAATGTTCACCTGAGATTTTCCCATGGTTCCCTTTCTCCTGGTTCCGCCACAGCTACGGTGATTATGTTCTCCTGTGGAGTAATCACAGAGTAGAGTGGAGCATATAGGGTAAGCGCGTCTGACAGTACACAGCAACCTGGGTGTAGACCAACCTGTAGCAAAGTCCTTGTGGCAAAAATGTGGGAAGAAGCAACTGAGTACCTTATAAGGGCTCCTGGTGAAAGTAATAGTAAAATTTGCAACCAGTGGCTTGATGTAACAGCTGGTTATCCACCTAAGACTAAGCTGGTTGAGTTTAAGTTTGTAACGTTTACACTGTAATGTTAATCCACTCCAAACAAAGCCTGATTTTATAGTAATGGTCAGATACAGGGTGACCCTGTCTTACCTGTCCATAATGCTAGACTATTTATAGGGTCCAGGCTTCACCCCTCACAATGGGCATTCTTCAGGGTCTTCATGGTATGGGGTCCATAGGTATGGACCACGGCTCTGGATCTGTATAGCTTCTTACAGCTGACTAGTTAAATTGCACTAAGCAACATTACAGGATGTGGGGTTTGGGTACAGCTCTCAAGGTTTTACTGAGGTTGTGCCAATCTGGATTCACTGCTTCCATTTATGGTAATAGAAGGCAGTGATAGAGATGACTGAAAAGTTGATTGAAAAATCCAAAGATAAAATAATATACTAGTTAAGCTAAGACTCATGGGTTAGGGTAGGGTTATAGGGGAGCACTCAGGTGGCAAGTCCTTGAAAGCTTTGCCAGTGTGCAACCACCTGAAGGTATGAGCCTATAACCCAGGGTCTGTATACTTTGCCTGTGTCCTGTACTGTACAATTAAGATATGTATTTTGAATAAATGTATGCATGATTAGCATTGAAAAACTTTTCACACATTTTCAGATTTATTTTTATAAGAAACTTGCATAAATATGCCATTGTGTGAATTGTTGCAGCATGCTTGTCATGCATAGGCAGGTCAAGAGAGTATGTGGCAACTCTGGCACTTACTGATTAAGCCTGGTATATCTTGATTACTCATATCAAAATTGGGACTTTAAATATTCATAAAGTGGACAACAACAATATTGCATGCTATAAAAGGTTTTTTTATTACAACATATTTATTATAGAAAGGTTAAAAATAGACCATTTAAAAAGCTATCTTGTAGTAGCTTGCAGATCCAGAGTTTATAACATCAACCAACTTAGTCCAATGTTCTAGGAGGTTGGCAGTGAAATCAATATACATAGGTCGTGTCTCACGGGTTCACCAGCCTCCTCAAGACCTTCTACTTCGAATATTCACAAATAAGATTAAAATGAAACTTCACTTCAAAATTAATATAGATACCAGGATACCGAGGAAACCGCACCAGACAAGCTCTCCCCAGCCCGTGGGGAGTTAAGTGGCCACTGTCATAACCCAACCAATGGTATTTGAGCTTTGTACTTCACTCTTAAAGCATGGTAAATACTGTATATATAGCATGGTATTAGACAGATATTAGATAGATCAGACGCCCACTCAAATCCAACAGAGAGTACTCCCACATTTAAGTATGTTTGAAAATTGCCTTTCTAAATGGTTTATTTGTAACCTTTGTGTAATAAAAATGTTGTAATTAAAACCTTTTATACCATGTAATATCGACGTTGTCCATTGGAGTTGTATAGGTAATCAAGGTATATTTGTGCAGGGATGATGCCTCAAGTGGTGGGATGGTATTGACAACACTTTACTCCCACATGAGTAATAGGACTGCAAGGCCAACTATTATAGCACAGCCCGAACACAAGACGAGGCAAAAGAGTTTGGCATGCAGTGCGTTTTTTTTCAGCGCAGTGCAGTGCGAGGCAATCCAGCAAATCACACCACACTGCGACCAACAAAACTCAAAGAAATTTAATTTTGTGACCTTTCAATAATTTGTTAAAAGAAAAAAAAAAGTAAACAGTGTAATGCGATAAGATCGGGCACTGCTGACATCCTATAGCACACCAGTGGCTGGGTTTTAGCACAGCTGCTGATGCGAACAGGCCCCTATAGAAATCTGTCTGATCCCCTAAAAATGATAGTTGGCTGGTTGTCATGCTGACTCTCTAGCTGCAAATACCTGACTTCAAACAGATCAGAAATTGTGACTTCAAATGCAATTTATTTGACATAGATACAGTATGTATTCAAGCAAAACAACAAGGCAGGTAACATTTTCAAAAGAAGCTCAGCAGTGGCAACTTTTCTTTCTTTTTTTCTCAACAAGTTTCCTTTAATAAAGCTCTAAACAGATAGCATAGTTATACCTCAATCATTCACCTCCAGTACTTTGCTATGTGCAAAACATGAGCATTACCCCTCTATCTGGTATGTAAAATTGTTAGTCATATACATAGTTCTGAGCGCAATATATATTTTTCTTGTACTCTGACAGGTGGCTGCTCAGCAGAAAGAATCCGAGACCACACAGAGGGCTGAGCGAGAGGTGTCCAGAATGGTCATTGCTATGGTATTGGCCTTTCTTGTCTGCTGGTTACCCTATGCTGCATTTGCAATAGTTGCAGCATCCAATAAAGACATTGTTATTGATCCGACATTAGCATCAATGCCTTCTTACTTCTCAAAAACTGCTACAGTATACAACCCTGTCATCTATGTCTTCATGAATAAGCAGGTTTGTGTCTTCTTAACTGAACAATAGTTACTTGCTTAAGCAGAAATATAACTTGGGAGTGTTATACAGAGATCTTTAAAGTAACTTGCAGCACTTCATTGTTTCTATCCATAACTTTCACAGTCTACATGCAGGAATGCCTTCAAATTTGCTACAGATGGGCCTCACGATGCTTGTCATATATGTAATTATTTCTTCCATACGGTACAAAAAAAGAAAGGTAGCTCCTGTAAATCTCTGTTTCCCAAGCGTATCTAAAGCTGAAATTTATGGTTCAATTTAGCCATAAGTATCCCCAGTAAGGAGATGCTAACAGCAGTAAGAAGAGTGCAGTGCAGAGAAATGAGTGGTCAATGGCATAATTACTGCATATGCAGAGGTAACTGGTTTCACGAGGTCACAGGGTCCAAGAATAATGGCCAGACCATCTTACTTTATTTAACAAATGTACGCCCATATTACATGTAGAGCAGAATGCAGTATGTCTATTTACAGCATTAATTTCTTCTGTAATGTTATCTCTTGTATGAACTTCTTGTAGGCTAACTGAGAAAGATGAGTCTTTACTGCACCTGGTGTAATTAAAAAGCAGCAATAGCCAAAAAAGCAGAATGAGCCAGTCTATTGATGCTCAATGTCATATAAGTATAATGTTCTATTTATATACATATATGCATTAGGCATAGATTTGTCTAGGAAAGGATATCGCGGGGCAGCAGATTGGCCTTATGTAGTGCCTTCTTCCAATATAATTTATACTCGGTAACATAAAATTTTAACAAAAAATATTTATATTGTCTTGGGTTTACAGAGTTGTGCAGTAAATAAACTGTGGACAGTAAAGGTGGCCAAGGAGGCCACATAATTGATATCCAGTCCTGTCTTAGGTATGTACCTTCCAGAGATTCCAAAGCAGACAAGAGGTACTGTCATATTAATGTATGATGGGGCAACAGTAACCAGCATCTTAATGCACCTGGCAATATATAAAATGCTTGTACATTTGCATTAAAACTACATCTTAGATCTATCTGTCTTGTATGCTGGTAATGACAATGCCACTAGAAGATTAATTTAGGGTTTCACTAATGGGCCATCTGGTCAAGGGACGACTAGCTGCAGGGGAGACGTCATTCTTCATGCCTTCTTGTTCAGATTGAATGTATTTATGTATTTGTTTCACAGTTCCGAAACTGCTTAATGACTCTTATATGCTGTGGACGCAACCCTTTTGGTGGTGAGGATGAAACAAGCACGGCCAGCGTCCGTACAGATGTCACTTCAGTGTCTGAAGGAGGTGGAAACAAGGTCACACCAGCATGAGACTGTTTGTATGCCATCTGCATTCTAAAGTCTTTCAACTGTATATATGTTAAAACACAGATTTGGTTAAATTTATGTGGTCTTATCATGTTCATCACCTTTTCATAAAATAAAGATATCAATGATTAAACTCAAAAACCTTACTAAATTAAGTGTAAATTTTGCACTTTGCCTCTTTTTGAATGAACAAAATAGAAAGTACAATTCAATAACAATACTATGCAGTATTTAAAATAACTACATCGATGACAAAAGGTTTTATGTTGAATTCTGGTTGTGACACTGATGTTTTTTCCCTAATTAAGAATGTCAATAGCAGCTACAAGAGTAGACTCTAAAAAAAATTGTAGAAGCTACTCACTGAGACAGTGATGTTACATCGATTGGAAATCTCAACCCCTGCATCCTGTATTGGTAAAAAGAAGCATTCCTATTTGGTCAGTAGTGTGGGGTAGACTCCATAGTATATCAGTTAGTAAGAGATCCACAGTAAAGCTGTCTACAAAAGGGTTGATAAACAAAACATATTAAACAATAAATCTAACTTTCTTACCACAATAATAACTAATCTATAAATACATGTAGTTAGACATTATTACAGTTATTACATTTCCAAAAAAAGGTCTGGGTAGCCCCTAATGTTCAGAACTCAAGTTGAATAGTATAGAAACATCAGGAGATCACATGCAATTATCAAGCAATGCCACAAAGCTAGGGTTATGTAAACACAAATAACTGTTCAATGTTATGCAGAGCTAATAATCAATTCAACAGTCCTTGGATAAAATGAAATCAGACAGTGTTTACACATATACTGTACAGCTATAGTGAGACATAATTATCTAACTACAACACAAAAGTAAAACAATGCAAGCAGAAATAATTGTTCAGTATTTTAATAAGCTGATGATGAACCACTTTCCAGAAAATATACTGTTACAGGGCGGCAGGGGTCCTCAAAATCACATTTATAAATGTGATTTTGCATTTCTGGATAGGGGGTACGTGCACGCCCCAAGCCGCTATTTGCAGCATCGACTGTCAATCACCGGGTCCTGGCCAGTGATTACTCGCCAGCACCGATGATCGCTGAGCATTACCATCAGAGGCAGAGAACTGTATGTAAACAATACAGTTCTCTCCCTTGTCAGCTCCTGCACACTGCTTTATATGGCTGTGCATAGCACAGCCATACAAAGCAGTGTGCTTACAGTTGAAAGCACTAACACAGCACACAGTTAACCCTTTGATCGACCCACATGTTAACCCCTTCCTGCCCAGTGCCATTATTAGTGTCAGTGCTTTTTATTAGCGCTGATCTCTATATTGGTGTCACTGGGGATGTCAGTGACACCAAATCAGCTCCCCCCAGTGTCAGAATGCCCGTCGCGGTCCCACTATAAGTCGCTGATCGCCGCCATTACTAGTAAAAAAATAACAGTATATATACCGCCATTTGTAAACGCAATAATTTTCATGTAAACCAATTCATTTACACATATTGCAACTTTTTTTTTTAGCAAAGCCATGTAGCAGAATAAATTTTGACCTAAATTTATGATGAAAATTGATTCTTTTTACTGGACATGTTTAATAGCAAAAAGTCAAAATATAGTTTTTTTTTCTCAAATTTGTTGGTCTTTTTTTATAGCTCAAAAAATAAAAACGCACAGGCAATCAAATACCACCAAAAAAAGCTCTATTTGTGGGAAAAAAGGACATAAATTTTGTTTGGGTGCAGCGCTGCATGACTGCGCAATTGTCAATTAAAGTAACCATAGCACCATACTGCAAAAACAGGCCTGGTCAGGAAGGGGGTAAATCCTCTGGAGGGCAAGTGGTTAATATATAAATCCTCAAATAGAGCATAATAAAACAGTTTATACATATAAATAAGTGAAACCTTGCGAGCAGCTCAGACTCAGCTCTTAACCAATATTTCATCAATCCACTATGCAAAAGCTGCTCACACTATTTATTTATTTATTTCAGGTACTTATATAGCTATACCATATTCATGTGCTATATAACAAAAAAATTGTGCAGCACTTTATCCTTAAAATACTAATATCCCTAAACTCAATTAAAATATGAACATAGAAAAACACATTTTTAAAACCAATAAAGCTTCCAAAAAAAAAGGTGGTCATTATTTCTCCAATCAATGTAGTGTCACCAATCGTTGAATATCCAACATACAGTAGGGTCCATATATATTTGGACACAGGCACAATTTTAGATTTTTTCAGGTATTTACCAGAACATATATAAGCTATAGCTATATAATGGATATGGGCTGAAACTGCACACTCTCAGGTTTAATTTGAGGGTATGTACATCCAAATTGTAGGAAAGGTTCAGGAATTACTGTTCTGAAGAGTAGCCATCCCCCCTTCTTCAAGGGAGCAAAAGTAATTGGACAATTGAATATAATCATAAATAAAAAGTTCATTTTTAAAATTTAGTTGAGAATTCTTTACTGGCAATGACTGCCTGAAGTCTGAAACCCATGGACATTACCAAAGACTGGGTTTCCTCCTTTCTCATGCTTTGCCAGGCTCTAATTGCAGCTGTCTTCAGTTGTTCTTTGTTTGTGTGTCTTTCTGCCTTTAGTTTTGACTTCAGGAATTGAAATGCATGCTCAATTGGGGGCAGATCAGATGATTGAGCTGGCCATTGCAGAATTATTCACTTCTTTTCCTTCAAAAGCTCCTGGGTTGCTTTTGCAGTGTGTTTTGGATCATTGTCCATCTGTACTGTGAAGTGCCATCTAATCAACTTTGCTGCATTTGGCTGAATCTAAGCTGTCAGTATATCTCAAAAAACAGTAGGATTCATCCAGCCTCTATATTCTGTCACATCATCATTAAACACTAATGACCCAGTGCCACTGGAAGCCATGCATGCCCATGCCATCACAGTGCCTCCACCATGTTTTACAGATGACGTTGTGTGCTTTGGATCATGAGCTGTTCCAAGCTCACTTTCACATTTCTTTCTTCCCGTCATTCTGGTACAGATTAATCTTAGTTTCATCCGTCCAAAGAATGCTTTTCCAGAACTGGTCTGGCTTTTTTAGATTTTTTTTGGGCAAAATCTAATCTGGCTTTTCAATTCTTCAGGATTATGAAAGGTTTGCACCTTGTGGTGAACCCTCTCTATTTGCTCTCCTGAAGTCTTCTCTTGATTGTAGACTTTGACAATGATACGCCCACCTCCTGGAGAGTGTACTTACCATAGAGAGGATCCTGCTATCATCCACCACTGTTCCGTGGATGTCTATGCCTTTTGCCTTTAGCAACATAGCTAAGCTCACCAGTGCGTATTTCTTTCCCCAGAATGTACCAAACTATTGCTTTGGCCACTCCTAATGTGGCTGTTATCTCTCTGATGGATTTGTTTCATTTTTGAAGCTTTACAATGGCCTGTTTCACTTGCATGGACAGCTCCTTTGAATGCATGATGTAGGTTCACAGCAACAGATTCCAAATGCAAATACCACACTTAGAATCAGCTCCAGACCTTTTTATCTGGTTAATTAATGAAATAATAGCCCAAAGAAGTAGCCCACACCTGGCCATGAAACAGCTTTTGAGTCAACTGTTCAATTACATTTGGTCCCTTGTAAAAGGGGGGATTGCTACTCTTAAAAGCTGTAATTCCTAAACACTTCCTCCAATTCGGATGTACATACCCTCAAATTAAACCTGAGAGTGTGCACTTTCAGTCCATATTCATTATATAACTATAGCTTGAATATGTTTTTGTAAATACCTGAAAAAATCTAAAATTGTGCCTGTGTCCAAATATACAGTCAGGTCCATAAATATTGGGACATCGACACAATTCTAACATTTTTGGCTCTATACACCACCACAATGGATTTGAAATGAAACGATCAAGATGTGCTTTAACTGCAGACCGTCAGCTTTAATTTGAGGGTATTTACATCCAAATAAGGTGAACGGTGTAGGAATTACAACAGTTTGCATATGTGCCTCCCACTTGTTAAGGGACCAAAAGTAATGGGACAGAATAATAATCATAAATCAAACTTTCACTTTTTAATACTTGGTTGCAAATCCTTTGCAGTCCATTACAGCCTGAAGTGTGGAACGCATAGACATCACCAGACGCTGGGTTTCATCCCTGGTGATGCTCTGCCAGGCCTCTACTGCAACTGTCTTCAGTTCCTGCTTGTTCTTGGGGCATTTTCCCTTCAGTTTTGTCTTCAGCAAGTGAAATGCATGCTCAATCGGATTCAGGTCAGGTGATTGACTTGGACATTGCATAACATTCCACTTCTTTCTCTCAAAAAACTCTTTGGTTGCTTTTGCAGTATGCTTTGGGTCATTGTCCATCTGCACTGTAAAGCAGCGTCCAATGAGTTGTGAAGCATTTAGCTGAATATGAGCAGATAATATTCCCGAAACACTTCAGAATTCATCCGGCTGCTTTTGTCAGCAGTCACATCATCAATAAATACTAATAAATATAAAGAGAAGCAGTTCCATTGGCAGCCATACATGTCCACGCCATGACACTACCACCACCATGCTTCACTGATGAGGTGGTATGCTTAGGATCATGAGCAGTTCCTTTCCTTCTCCATACTCTTCTCTTCCCATCACTCTGGTACAAGTTGATCTTGGTCTCATCTGTCCATAGGATGTTGTTCCAGAACTGTGAAGGCTTTTTTACATGTCGTTTGGCAAACTCTAATCTGGCCTTCCTGTTTTTGAGGCTCACCAATGGTTTCCATCTTGTGGTGAACCCTCTGTATTCACTCTGGTGAAGTCTTCTCTTGATTGGTGACTTTGACACACATACACCTACCTCCTGGAGAGTGTTCTTGATCTGGCCAACTGTTGTGAAGGGTGTTTTCTTCACCAGGGAAAGAATTATTCGGTCATCCACCACAGTTGTTTTCCACGGTCTTCCGGGTCTTTTAATGTTGCTGAGCTCACCGGTGCGTTCCTTCTTTTTTAAGAATGTTCCAA